GGTATGGTGTATACTATACTGTAAAAGTTAATAATAACTGAATAAAAGGAAAGTGACCAAGAGGTCACCTTAACATCGAAAAAAAAAAAAATTATTATTTTATTTAAAAAATACTAAGTACTATTTAAATTTTTAGACAAATTTGCAATTTAAGGAATAGTAATAGTAGTTATCAGACTATTTTAACAGACAATATATTTAAAAATGTGTCAGAAATGGATGTTTTATAGGTAGTTCATGATAATTTAAAAAGAATAAAATAACTTATATACTTTATTCTCTAGATAAAATTAGATTGTTTTAGATTAAAGGATTTAAATAAGAAATTTACAAGCAAATCTCAGATATGTTATATAAAAAGTAACTATAATAATATAGCAAAGACCTTAAATAGACAATAACTAAAGTTGTATATATGTTTATATATATCTTTGTTAGTAATATACTATATCTAGAGCCTTTAAAAACACCAATGACTAAAGCATTTAATAAAAATAATAAGCCAAAGAGGCTAGCCTTGACTACAAACAAATAAAAAAGTAAAAGTTAGTAAAATTATATCAAATCTTTTTTAATAAAATGTTTTTGAATTTTTTAAACAAAAATAACTTAACAAAGGCTTAATCAAATTTAATAAAATTTTTTTTAAATTAATTTTAAAAAAAATTTATTAAATTTGCTAAGTTATTAAATTATTTTTGGTTAAAAATTTTATTAAATTTACTAAATTATTGTTATTTTTAAAAAATTTAAAAAAATTTTATTAAAAAAAATTTGGTGCGTTTTTACTGACTCATCCCAAATAAAAGAAAATAATATTTTATATCTATATTAAATCATGCAGTAAAGTATACTCTATCTAGATAAATATTTTTTAATTAAAAAAAAATTAATTTTCACATGTTTAATTAATAAAGATTTTTATTAAATTATTTATAATTGTATGTACGTACGTACGTACGTATTTTAAAAATGTTATATCTCACTTATGATTTAATTTTAAAAAAAAAACTTTTTTTAGAAAGCTTGCTATGCATAAAAAAATATATTTAATTAATAATATCCTAATTCTAACCATCATGAACGGGCAGATATTTTAAAATATTGTATGATCATAGAATCCAACATGGGTGTGTGAAAATAAATAAATACAATTGAGGGGTTTTTTCTTAACGAATTAATACAACGTTTTTAAAATTAGTAACATTACTTACAATTCTCCCCTATTTGTATGTTTGTATATCCCTATTTGTAAGAACGATATTAAGAAACACTAAGATTATCAAAACTCTACAGGCGATCAACAGATGAGGTAAAAGATTTAAAACAAAAACACCTTTATAATTATCGAAAGACCTACATTATAGTATTGAGTTAAAGATCGGTGAAAATCGACGGTAAAAACCATTGAAAATATGAAATATGATAACGGACAATATAAAAATTAGTTAAGCAAAGTTAAAAAGAATTTTATAGTAATTTAAAATTTTCGTACAATATAAATAAAACTCTTATTGCAACATACCGTACAGCGCGGACCATAGTACCTCCTCCCACATCAAAGTACCCTCTATAAAAATTTTTCGCAGTTGAATACAAGATACCCGGGTACTTTACAGAGTGAAATACCCGGATATTAACTATGTAGCATATATCATTTCTATGTACAATACACCTCTTATATAATACCCGGGTACTAACTTGGATTTTAGCTGTGGAATGTATCGTATCCGGGGTACTATAGTCCGCGTTGTATGGTAAATAAAAAAAAACCACCAAACAATATTAAACTCATATATTTATCATTTTATTTTTTTTACAAGACAATAGAGGCTCCAAGAAGTTATATGGATCATCTTATCAGAAATAATATATAGTTGCTATAATAGTATATTACTTACAAATTACGATTGCTGTTGAGCCTGATATTTAAGACGTGACTGTGCAAACAAGAGTTCTTGTTGCCTCAATAGTTCTTCTTCAGTCATTCCGGAATTTTCCAACCTAGAGCTTTTCTTATCACGATCCTAAAACATATGGGGAATAAATTAAAAATTATTAAAATTTGAAAATGATGATGAAAAGAAAAGGTTGCAAATTGATTCTAAAAAATGTACTTTTTGCAATTTTTTGTGTTCCTTTAAGACTTCTTGTACTTCGGTAAGATAATTCTCAAAACCCAAATGCTAATAAAAAAAAAAAGAATAACAATACAATCAATAATAATCAATAATGAAATAATATTTAATTATAAGATGATGAAATACCTTGAGTGCATCAATGACATGTTCCGCAGCAATCGTTTTTTTAGCGTCTTTTTCGCATATGTCGTTCGCTTCAGAAGCGATCAAATGAATAAATTCTATATTTACGAAAGGAGAGTAATAAACATTAATATAAAAAGAAAAATATAAATTTACTTAAAAAGTTTTATTTATTTTTTTAAAAAAAATTCGAAATGAGTAGCTTCACTTACCGACACAACAATCTATTAGTAAATCACGAGTGTCCTTGGCACAGTTAATATCGGGCGGTAACATTTCTGTAATAAGTTTTGTGACAGTCGCTTTATAAAAGACGAAAAGATAGGTTAATAAAGAATATAAACAAAATAGTAAGTCATTCAAGAAGTTAGTCAAGAAGTCGAAGAAGTTTTTTTTTAATAAATTTAAAAGAGGAAAATAAAAGCCAACCTTTTGGAAGCGACAAGTCGTCATCCGCACCGTTATTGCCAAGCGTTTCTCTATCGCTCATTGTGACAACAAAGATTTCTTAAGACCGGATAGATGTATAATAAGGTTATCATCGTCTTGAGGATTAAGCTTGTCTTTATATAATGAAATATGGTTTCTCAACTATTCCGGTCTGTCCAAAGAAATGCCACTGCTCTATGAACGGAAAAATTGAGGTACCAAATTGGGACCCCATAATTTAGCATTATTCATTATTTCGCAGGAACAATGTGACATAATTTTGGCCGAATTTATTACAGATTTACAAATGTGTAGTGTTACGTGAGCATAATAAATATATAAATATATATAATATATAATGATAATGTATAGATAATTAAATAATAAATATGTTGTAAGCAAGAACGGAATTTAAGTGGATTTAAGATTTTAGGGTTAGAATATATATATAGAATATAAGTTTACATACCTATAACCTATAACATTATATATACCCTAAAATTATAATTTTATATTAAGAAAATCCGAAACCAACTTGCAACATATGTGTAATCTATCTTTAAAAGCAGCAGTAGTAAAGATTTTAAATAACAAGATTAAATATATTTTAATGAGACACTTTTTCAACAATCTTGTCAGTTATATTACTCAATACTTCAAACAAATTTGAAGCAGAATATTTTTTAATCAAATCGTTATCAACTGAAGAATCTTGATTTTCTACTATGAGAGTCAGAGATGGATCAATTGGAACACGTCCTATTAAAAAAAAAATCGAATTAAATACATGTAATTAATTAAAATACATATATAGTAATAAGATTAATATTAACTCACCTAAAAAATCCACACTAAACTCTTGTGCCATTGCTTCACCACCACCAGTTGAGAACAAATTCGTACACTCCTAATTAACAAATTAACAAATTAACAGAGTAATTAACAAAGTAATTAACAAAGTAATTAACAAAGTAATTAACAAAGTAATTAACAAAGTAATTAACAAAGGAAATCACGTAATTATATTAGTCAATCGAGAAATTAAATGAGAAAGTAAATGAAAATGAAAACTACTATTAACCTCACAATGAGGACATATAAATCCGCTCATATTTTCAATAATGCCCAATATAGGTAAATTCACTTTCTTGCAAAAATTTAGCTCCTTACGTACATCGGCCAGTGCAACTGCCTAATGAAATAAATTTAAATAATTAAAAAAAATTTATTGTTTTTGGAATTCATAATGAATGAATAAATTTATAAACCTGTGGAGTAGTCACAAGGATAGCACCATCAGGATTAGTATCTTTCAAGTACTCCACGACGGATATATGTTCATCAGAAGTGCCTAAAAAATATATATATAATAAATGATAATAAAATATAATCAATACAAATAATAGTAAATCCAATCTATATTGAGATGTACCTGGTGGAGTATCGATAATTAGATAATCCAATTCACCCCAACAAACGTCCGACAGGAATTGCTTAATCATGGCTGTAAAAATGGTAAAAAGTGGTAAAAATCAGATGTGAATTATATAAATTTAATATTTGATATATTTAATGGATATTATTTTCACCATTCGTTACATTCGTTACATTCATTACTAACCATTTTTTTTTGGACCACGCCAAACAACCGAATCATCTTTCTTTTGAAGTAAAAATCCAATTGACATGCAACATAATCTTTGACTCTCATCCATAAAAACTGGAACCCACCTTTTTTTAATATTTTTTTTAATATTTTTAATAGTAGAATTCATGTCAGAGGTATTCTTGAACTTTAACCTTTCACACATATAAATATGCACTAAGGGCAAAAAATCAATAGAAATATACTAACCCAGAAGATGCTTGATGAACCTGCCTATTTTCAAGACCAAACATCCTTGGTATACTTGGACCAGTAAGATCAATATCGAGAATTCCAACCTTATGTCCTTTCTGCGCAAGACATAATGAGAGTTGTGTAGAAATTGAACTTTTTCCAACACCACCTTTACCAGATAGAACCAGTATAATATGTTTTATATTCTCAAGATGTGTAGATATTGAGTCAGACATTATGAACCTTAATAATAACAATTAACATTAATTACTTTTCAAAAAATAATAGATTTTTGTTATATCAATATATCGATATAATTCGACAATCTCTTAGCGATGTTACACACATCAGATATCTGATGTAGATGTGTTTTTAACATTAACGTTAACGTTAAGCATGCATGCAGGATTCTAATCTTTCGTTGCAGAATTCACTATAAAAGGTTATGATAATTGAAATTTTGTTAACGTTTTAATTACGTATCCTGTTAATTATGATCTACGATACGTACGTACTGTACATAGTATATTATTTATCTGTTATTATATAATTATAATACAGTAATACATATTGATAAATCTTTAATCAGATAATTTTCTTTGCAAGTCTTTTTGACTTTAATTGTTTAGATTGTTTAGTAAATTATACTAAAAATAGATGAACAGCCACAAGTACGTAATCTTTGGGTTAAACATATAACGTAAAATGTATACCGATACCATATAAAAATGTAAAAAAGACTTTAATGAATCGAATTAGTGATTTTTGAAACAATAGTTCACTTCTGAAAGATAGTAAAAATAGTTAAAACTTATAATGTTTGAATGCAGTGAAATTATTACGTATACAGTATATTACTTTCTTTGGGCTTCTAATAAGTTCTAATAGTAGTACAGTACAATCAATAAAATTATTGAAAACGGCACAGTATTTTTTTTTTCTTTTTGTAATTATATACTTTTTATTTAATCAAACTAGAGTTCGGAACTGGTTTTATTTTTCTTATGTCAAAACCGATTAAAACCGGGTTTAATAAAATCCGGTTCCAAACTCTAAATCAAACTACGCGAATTTTTTATACTAACGCTAATACATAATAATAAACGTTTAGATTATTTATAAAAAAATCGGTGACTTGAACTTTTAAACTGCAGCATTAAGACTATTAAAATAAAAAAATTAAATATTAATTTTGTTTTAAACCAAATTGTTAATGGTAAAAGAAAAAAAGAGTTTTTGAAAAATTTGGTCGACGGGTAATGCAAAACGAAAATGTGATCTAATCTTAAATTATATACACATTGAATCTATAACTTAACTAAATCCGCCAAAAAACCATTCGTTAATTTTTATCAGGTGCCTCAAAGTTTAGGATGGTAACTTTTTCAATTAACCCGGTTTTCAATTCAACTATGTTATTGTTAGATAAGTAAGCATGTATTGACTTAATTCTGTAATTCTACGTCTAATTCTATATTTAATTTTACATCTCAGATTTCCGAAATTTACAATCAATTAAAAAAATTCGAAATAACTACTATTATTAACCAAAGCGATACCTTTTTTTTTATTACATTTTACTAAAACATATACTGCATAGAGATCTTTTGTTGTAAAATAAGCCTTGTTAAACGTTTTATATTGCTTAGCCTATTTAATAAAGGCATAGAATCTTATATTAGTATTATATTCACGATTTAACAATCTATAAATTTAATATTTGACTTTATAATTTAAACGCGTAAAAACTCAACTACCTTTATTCTTATGAAAACTCGTTGGGGAAAGCGATTAAAAACGATTAAAAAACATTTTCTACTAAAAATACTCAAAACGAAGTTTTATTAGCGAAAACTGATACTTTATTTAAAATGCTAAAATAATTGGATAGAGCCCTAACACCGCTCTATCCTATCCTAACCATCCATTTTATGTTAGGTCTATTTACCCGTGTACAATTTTTTTTGTTTTTTTAATTACCACTTACTTTTTTTTTTTTTTTTGATTACCCATGTACCTACTTTTTTTTTTTTTTTAATTACCCGTGTTCTTTTTGTTTTTAATAACCCGTGTTCTTTTTTTTTAATTACCCGTGCACCTACATAATACCCGTGTTCGTTTTTTTTTTGGTCTTTATCTCACTTCGAAGTTTTCGGTGGTTGGGAGAGGGCATACTGGTGGAGACAATTTTCGCATTATGATCGGGGGCCCAGCACTTTATGCAACAGTCTCTTAGGCGGACGGAATTTTTGGAAAAAGCGTGAACAAGTGAGGACCCTAACAAACCTTCGTTTGTCTTAGGCGGGCAGAATTTTTGGACAAAACGCGAGCAAGTGAGGACCCTTATAAACCTTCGTTTGGAGGACCTTCGTTTGGGAGACTTTCATTCAGGGAATTATTCAGTGAACCTTCGTTTGGGGATTCTTCGTCGGGAGAACCTTTATCGAGAAAGCTTCTATTGGGAGAACCTTCATTAGGGAAGTCTTTGTGGGGGAGCCTTTGTGAAGAAGTTTTGTGGGAGGAGCCACCGTCATGAACTATTTTATAATGTTTTCCACTGATATATTTTTTTTTAATCAAAACAAACAAAATAAATCTCACCTTATAAGGTAAGCATGGGTATTATGGCGCAGTACCAATTATGGCGCACACGTGAGATCTTGTGATCCAATGATCAGAAACAGATGATTTTACTACCATTCGATTCGTTACGATGAGACGAATCGAATGGTAGTAAAATCATCTGATTCTGATCACTGGATCACAAGATATTGATACTTAAATAAAATAAATAAAAATTTTAATTTTAAGGTTTTAATAAAACCTAATCGTAGTATGTTAATAGTGACTTTTTTATTAGGTAAATCGACCTTCATTATTAAGACAATTTTGTTCGTCATTACAAATTCTACTTACCTCTAAATTTTCATAAAAATCGGATAATTTTTTATTAAGTTATTTGTAAAAAGTATACTTGCGCCATAATAGGCTCTTTTGGCACAAAAACGTATTTTATAAAAATCAATTAATAAAAAATTATCCGATTTTTATGAAAATTTAGAGGTAAGTAGAACATATAACGATTAATAAAATTGTCTTATTAATGAAGGTCGATTTACTTAATAAAAAATTTGCTAACAACGCATTAAAGTTATTTTTTTTAGTCTTTTAAATTTTAATCTTTTATTGCAAGTAAATTGTGGTTAGGGATGGAAAAAAAA